CCTAAGGCGAGAGGCCCAGACTTCCCTCTCTCCAGCCACTTGGGCCAGCTCCTCCGGGGGAATCCCAAGGCGTTCCCTGGCCAGGTGAGAGACATAGTCCCTCCACCGTGTCCTGGGTCTACTTTTAGGTCTCTTGGGTCTTTAGGTTGGACGTGCCTGGAAAACCTCACCAGGGAGGCGTCCAGGAGGTATCCTGACCAGATGCCCGAGCCATCTCAACCGGCTCCTCTCGATGTGGAGGAGCAGCGGGTCTACTCCGAGCCCCTCCCGGATGACCGAGCTTCTCATCCTATCTCTAAGGGAGAGCCCAGCCACTCTGCGGAGAAAACTCATTTCGGCCGCTTGTATCTACGATCTCGTTCTTTCGGTCACTACCCAAAGCTCATGACCTTAGGTGAGGGTAGGAACGTAGATCGACCGGTAAATCAAGAGCTTCGCCTTCTGGCTCAGCTCCCTCTTCACCACGACAGACCGGTACAACACCCGCATCACTGCAGATGCAGCACCAATCCGCCTATCGATCTCACGCTCCAGTTTTCCCTCACTCGTGAACAAGACCCCGAGATACTTAAACTCCTCCACTTGGGGCAGGACCTCATCCCTGACCCGGAGAAGGCATTCTACCCTTTTCCAACTCAAGACCATGGTCTCAGATTTAGAGGAGCTGATTCTCATCCCAGCTGCTTCACACTCGGCTGCGAACCGCTCCAGCGAAAACTAAAGATCACATTCTGATGAAGCCAACAGGACCACATCATCTGCAAAAAGCAGAGACCTGATCCTCAGGCCACCAAAACGGATGCCCTCCACACCTTGGCTGCACCTAGAAATCCTGTCCATAAAGGTTATGAACAGAATCGGTGTCGAAGGGCAGCCTTGGCGGAGTCCAACTCTCACTGGGAACGAGCCCGACTCACTGCTGGCAATGCGGACCAAGCTCTGACCCCGGTCAAACAGGGACCTAACAGCCCGTATCAGAGGGCCTGGTACCCCATACTCCCAGAGTATCCCCCACAGGGCCCCCCTGAGGGACGCGGTCAAACGCCTCCTCCAAATCCACAAAACACATGTAGACTGGTTGGGCAAATTCCCACGCACCCTCCAGGATCCCCCTAAGGGTATAGAGCTGGTCCAGTGTTCCACGGCCAGGACGAAAACCACATTGCTCCTCCTGAATCTGAGGTTCAACAATCCGACGGACCCTCCTCTCCAGAACCCCTGAATAGACCTTACCAGGAAAGCTCAGGAGTGTGATCCCCCTGTAGTTGGAACACACCCTGCAGTCCCCCTTTTTAAATAAGGGGACCACCATCCCGGTCTGCCAGTCCAGTGGGACTGCACCCGATGTCCACGCGATGTTGCGGAGCCGCGTCAGCCAACACAGCCCCACAACATCCAGAGCCTTAAGGAACTCCGGGCAGATCTCATCCACCCCTGGAGCTTTGCCACAGAGGAGCTTTTTAACCACCTCAGTGACCTCAGCACCAGAGATTTGAGAGGCCAACCCAAAGTCCCCAGACTCTGCTTCCTCACTGGAAAACGTGTCAGTGGGATTGAGGAGGTCTTCGAAGTATTCTGCCCACCAATCCACAACTTCCTGAGTAGAGGTCAGCAGCAAACCGTCCCCACTATAGATAGTGTTGGTAGTGTAAGTTTAAAAACGTAAATATTAATAGATTTTCAGCCTGTTGAGACAGGAAACACAAACCTAACCAGTAATTATTTTAGTCAAACTAAACTTTGTTTTTATATTATATTATATTTTTACTTTTGTTCCTCCTTTTAAAAGGTCACATAATGGTTACTACAGGTGATGACCCCTGAGAGTAACAACCAGGCTGCTGCTCCTGAAGATAGTTAAACCCAGTACAGATACACAGTTTCTAGGTTTCCATCCTGGAACCAACAGCACCTCCTTCATCTGGACCTCATGTGTAAAATCTTTGTGAGTTCTTGGAGAAGAGGCAGTCTTTGAATAGGAACGGTCTGGTAGCTCGTTTCTGCACAGATGAGATTGAGACCTTCTTGTTTGTAGATTGCAGAACCAGATGAGGTTCCTGAGAGGAACCCAGTCGTCCAGGCGGACTCCAGAAAAGCATCAAGCGAGAGAAGCTGAGGACCAGAGTCAGGTTAGGGTTTGTTTGTGAATAAAACAAATAAAAGAAACAGCTGTGTGTGTTGCCACATTGGCTCCAATATCACAATGAAGTATTTTAATTAAATATAAATGCATAAAGTAAAATCTAAATGTTTTTGGGGTGGGCCACTTTTACTGAAACCCCGATTGCTCTCAGGACACGCCCCCTACTGGTTCACCATAGGCTCATGGGAAATGTCATGTTTATGCTCGATACACACATCTTATGTTGGTTCTTTTTATCGTATTTATTAGTTTCAGAACCACTCAATTTATATCTTAATAATAATAATAATAGCAGCTTAAGATTCAAATTTCAAAGATATTATTTTTGTTTTATATAATTTCTGAGCTGCGATGGACTGGCTCTCTGTCCAGGGTGTACCCTGCCTGATTGCCCATTGACCGCTGGAGATAGACACCAGCACCCCCCCACCCACCCCCGCAACCCTGCGTGGTCAAGCTGGTTCAAATGATGGATGGATGGGTAATTTCTGAGTAATTATTTTATGTATGTCATCAATTTGTTTATCATCACTGGGCCAGCTCTATACCCTTAGGGGGGTCCTGGAGGGTGCGTGGAAGTTCGCCCAATCAAACTACATGTGTTTTATGGATTTGGAGATGGCGTTCGACCGGTCCTTCAGAATGGGGAAGAAAGGTGATTTAAGTGACTTTGGACGTGGCATGTTTGTTGGTGCCAGATGGGCTGGTCTGAGTATTTCAGAAACTGCTGATTTTCTGGGATTGTCACACACAACCATCTCTAGGGTTTTCAGAGAATGGTCCAAAAAAAGGAAAACATCCAGTGAGCGGCAGTTCTGTGGGTGAAAATGCCTTGTTGATGCCAGAGGTCAGAGGAGTATGGCCAGATTGGTTCGAGCTGATAGAAAGGCAACAGTAACTCAAATAACCACTCGTTACAACCAAGGTATGTGCGGAAGAGCATTTCTGAACACACAAGTTGAACCTTGAGGCAGATGGTCTACAGCAGCAGAAGACCACAACGGGTGTCACTACTGTCAGCTAAGAACAGGAAACTGAAGTTACAGTTCCCACAGGCTCACCAAAATTGGACAGTAGAAGACTGTAAAAATGTTGCCTGGTCTGATGAGTCCCAATTCCTGCAGCGACATTTGGATGGTAGGGTCAGAAATTGGCGTCAACAACATGAAAGTATGGATCCATCCTTCCTTGTATCAACAGTTCAGGCTGCTGGTGGTGGTGTAATGGTGTGGGGGACATTTTCTTGGCACCCTTTGGGCCCCTTAGTACTAACTGATAATCTTTGACACAGCCTACCTGAATATTTTTGCTGATCCATCCTTTTATGACCACAGTGTACCCATCTTCTGATGGCTTCTTCCAGCAGGATAATGAGCCATGTCCTAAAGCTCAAATCATCTCAGACTGGTTTCTTGAACATGACAATGAGTTTACTGTTCTCAGATGGACTCCACAGTCATCAGATCTCAATCCAATAGAGAGCCTTTGAGACGTGGTGGAACGGGAGATTTGCAGACGACAAATTTGCAACAACTGTGAAATGGCATCATGTCAATAGGGACCAAAATCTCTGAGGAATGATTCCAGTACCTTGTTGAATCTTTGTCACGAAGGATTAAGGCAGTTCGGAAAGCAAAAGTGGGTCCAACCCGGTACTACCAAGGCGTACCCAATAAAGTGGCCAGTGAGTGTATATACTGTTTGTACTACAGGATAATTGTTGGTCAGTATTTTTAATGTTACAATTAAGAGATTAAGTTGTTTGAAATGAAGCTGAAAAACTGACTTTAAAATGCTAAATATAGTCATTCACCTTTTGACGTATAACTAACTGTACAAGCAGCTAAAGATGGCGTTTCCTCAGAGTCAAACACGATGATTTTGTTTCAGAATAAAAACAATTTCATAAAAAAAGCCGAACGAGCACCGAGCCCTGAGGAGCTCCAAAGCTGACCGGATGTAAAATGGTTTGTTTCTGCTCACGCTTTCATCCGTGAACCCGAGAAAAGCTTCGGTAGGTGTAACGAGTCTGAACTGAATAAACCTGTCAGAACTCAGATGAGTGGTTTTATGGTTTGTTAGTTGCACAGACACCGCAGAAAGGAACCAGAAATTATACTGAAATGTTAGCACCTTCTAAACCCCACGGCGCTTCACAAAATCTAAGTGTCTTGCTCAAGGACACAACAACTTAAGTGAGTGGGATGCAAACTTACAACCCTCCAGTTACAGGGTGGGCACTCAACACCTCTGCCCCCACCACCCCAACCTTGTTCTAGTCAACAGCAGCTATGGTTCCTACTCAGGTCTGCAGAACCACAGCAGCAGAGGACTGCACCAGGTGTCTCTCCTGTCAGGTAAGAACAGGAAACTGAAGCTACAATTCCCACAGGATCACCAGAACTGGACCAGGAGAGACCGGAGAAAACTTTCCTGGTCTGGTGCGTCTGGATTTTAGCTGTCAGGTCAGAATTTGGTGTCGCCAACACGGAAGCATGGATCCATCCTGCCTTGTATCAACCCTTCAGGCTGCTGGTGGTGTATTAGTTGTTGGGGGTGTTCTAATCCCACTTTGGACCCATCAGTACCACCTGAGCTTGGTTTCAACGCCACAGCCTACCTGAGTCTTGTTGGTGACCATGTCCATCCCTTTGACCACATGGACCCATCTTCTACTTCCAGCAGGATCATGCACCATGTCACAAAGTTCACATCTTCCCCAACTGGTTTCTAGAACATGACCATGAGTTCACAGGTCTCCCAACGACCTTCAGATCTCAGACCAGTCCAGAACCTTTGGGACGTGGTGGCACCTCTAAACTTGGAACTTGGTGTTTAACAGGAAGTGAAAGTCTGCTGGTTTATGACTGGTGAGCTTTATTAAGATAAACTGATAACTTAAGTTATTGACACATTGTACAATTCATCGATCTGTACAAACATAAAAGCGTTGGTTTGGACCCATTTGGACCCGTTCTCACATTAACCTCCAACTAGGTGAAATGACATCATTTCATTACAGTCAGTTACAGAATCAACCAGATAAAAATCAAAACACTTCTTTAAAAAACAACAATGGAATCAACTGATCTGGATCAGAACTCATTCTCTGTCAACCAGCTGCTGGTTCTGGAGAGGTCAGGCTGGCGGTGCTGCGGGTCCAAACAACCAGCCAGGCTCACAAACTCCAGAGCTACCCTCTGTAACTAAACACAAACACTCAGGGGTTTGAGACATTAGCGAGGCATCGGTTTACAGACCGGACCGAACCGGGTCGGGTTGGACCGTGCACGGTTCTGACTACTTGATGACTGAATGACTATGTAAGGCGATATGAGGTGGAGCCGTGCGCTGTGTGGAAGTCAGAGGCAGCTCGGTGTATGTAGGCTTTATGTGACGGCACACGAGGATCGGGTCGGATCAGAACATGTGGGTCGATGGCGGCCAAGCAGCAGGAGGTACTGCGAATCAGCTCGACCGATTCCTCTAGTCTGGTTCTAAAACAGTGGTTCTGGTTCTGCTAAAAAATCTAATCTTTGACCAGAACAAAGTTACAGATGTTTAGTGCAGGAATCGGACCTCCGCGTGGGTCAGTCTTTATCTTTGCAAGCCAGCGGTTCTGTGGGTCAGAGGAATGTCATGAAGGGATTCACCTGTTCTGTTTAGGGTGGGATCAGAAACCCAATCAGGTCTGCTTTAGATCTGTGAAAATTAAATCGCTTTTGTTTGGGTTTCATCACATCTCAGCACAGGCATCGGAACCGGAACGTTCAGGAGTCCTGCCCTTGACCCAGATCCATGTCGTTTCCCAGCATGCAGTGCAGCAGAGCGATGGTCACTGCATGAGAAGCGGTGTATGGACAGCCGAAAAGGACAAAAATATACATATTCAAAAACGGCCCAAAAACTGTCCGATTTTAAAAATTGTTTTATTTTCATCAGATGTGTTTAATTATTTATCTTATTTATCTTTATATTTTGTGTTTATTTGTTCTGATTTCTGCTTTAATTTTATTCCCATTTCCTTTTGTGACGGAGTCTGTTCCTCAGAGCTGGCTCAGATCTCCTGACGAACAGAGATCCTGAAACGGAGCCAGAAAAGGACAGAAACACTTCCTGTTTAGCCTCTAAGCTACAAGGCTAGCTGCCTTGAGCTAAAATAACACAAAAGCTCCAAATCAGCTGTAGTTCTGACACCAGAACGGCCAACAGGCCTCGTCATATTTAAGCTCATGAAAATATAAAAGATAGGAGAAAATGAAAGAAAACATCAGATTTTCAAAAGTGCAATAATTTACTTAAAAGGTAAATTAAAAACAAAATACGGAAACAAATAAGAGCTCTAAATACACTGATAACAGAATGAAGTTTAAATTCATACAGAAGCATCGATAAACATTAATACTGTTTTGAGCCTTTTAAATGTATTTTTTATTGATTTTTGTCCATTTCAGGCCTCCGTAGACACCTGATGCAGAGGTGATGATAAAACCGAGTCACGCCCAAAGCGAACAGAATCACAGACATCAGATCGAACGGCGCTCGTGCGCTCGATACATCCACGTGGTTTCCAGACAGTACATTGCACTATAGGAGGGGGCGGGGCTATAATGACAGGAGACGAGTGGACAGAGGACTATGCTTCAGAGCGAATTCGATGTGCTTCAGATTTATATATTTATATATAGTAAGAAGATACGAGACGAGTCATTAAAAAAGTGGAGGAATGAAGGAGGGGAGCTAATCACATTCAGACGTTTCTGAGACGAGTCAGCGCTTCTACAGGAAGGAGATCTAACGAGGGAGGAAACGCCTGCTGTCCTGCAGTAGCCTAAAGACATGGGGCTTTGCTGGGGGGGGGGCACTTAGTCTTACAATGGGGGTGGGTGGTTAACTAAGGTGGGGCAGGTAGAGTTCAGGTTGCAGGTTTGACTCTGCGGTTTGATGTTTCCATACCGAAGCAGTCTGTTCTCTGGGGATGGGGCGGGGGTAGCAGCAGGTCCACGGCGGCGCTAGATGTTCTGACAGCACTGCATCTTTGGTTTGTTTTCAGTGGGCTGCACCTGGATGTTGACCACGTTGTTGCTAGGCGACATGTCGCTCTCCTGGCGCTCAGACATCTGCTTCTGGGACACAATGCGGTAAATCTCTGGAGGAGAAGAAGATTCAATCAGGAAGTTTCAGAAACATCTTCTGATCAGACTTTTAAAATGAAACTCCAGGTTGCCTCAAGTAGGCGTCACCAACTCCCGTCCTCGAGGGCTACCATCCCTGCGTTTCCTGCTCTACCAAAGGTGTCATCCGCATATAAATGTATATGAGAACAGGGTTTGGCATCGAGCATCGATTGGAACCGGTTCTAACTGTTAGTTTTTCCCGGAATCGTTTTTCTTTTTGATTCCTAGAATGCAGACGGAAGAGGAATCCGTGGCCTTTCTCCGTGAAAAATAAACGTGATCTGCAATTTGTGATCAACGCTTTTCAGAGCTGATCACACCAGCTGTCTGTGTGCAGCACCGAGCCCCCCGTACAATAACCTGTAGAATAATTAAAGTCATCATGCTAGAAAAGCTTCTCTGTGGTGGACCACACCAGCTTCTGCCACAATAAATAGTTATAATAATAATAAATAACATTTTTTATTTCCTTTTTGAACTATTTCTGTTGAGAGTTTTAATGTTTAAAATCTGTTAGATTGTTACTGACAGCAGCTACATTTAAGTTTCTGCTCTGACTGAATGCTGCTGCAGGTAGGAAAACAGCTGGACGTTTCTGGAGACATTTAGCCTCTCATCCCAGAGGCTTCTTCCAGACTTTGGTTGTGGTCAGAAACAAACACACTGGTTGTGCTGCAAGTCTTTTGGGGGCGACGGTGGCACAGGAGTTAAGTGCTCGCCCCGTAATCGGAAGGTTGCAGGTTCGAGCCCCGCTCAGTCTGTCACTGTCGTTGTGTCCTTGGGCAAGACACTTAACCCACGTTGCCTGCTGGTGGTGGTCGGAGGGACCGGTGGCGCCTGTGCTCGGCAGCCTCGCCTCTGTCAGTGCGCCCCAGGGCAGCTGTGGCTACATTGTAGCTCATCCCCACCAGTGTGTGAATGTGTGTGTGAATGGGTGAATGACTGATTGGTTGTAAAGCGCTTTGGGGCGTTCCAGGACTCTAAAAGGCACTGTATCAAATACAGGCCATTTACCATTTTTTTCTCTAAAACATGTTTTTGTCTAAATGAAGGTGATGTTGTTGTTCATAGAATTAAAATCCATGTTGAAGTTAAGATTATTTCATCAAGTAGGACCTGTGGTTAGCTGGCTCACTTAAAACATGGAATGTCTTGAAAGAATCGCAATCGGGAATCAATAGGAACCGGAATCGAAAGGAGGAATTGGAATCGGAATCGTTCAAAATCACACGATGCCCAACCCTAATGAGAACTGCGAATAGCATGAACAATGTTATTAATGCAGATTTTGAATAAGGTTGGGCCCAGTATCGACCCTTGAGGAACACCCATAGATAGAGGTAGAGGAGCAGATTGGTGACAACAACAAATGGGATTAATGGAGTCATTCCGACGTGTTTCTGTGTAAAACTTAGAAATACTTCAAGTCTTACTCTACAGCTGCCTGAACAGCCTCTGCTCATAAAAATAGAGTTAAATAGAGTCCCTTTCTCTGGCGCTCACAGGGAGCAGACGCTTCTGCCTTTCCTCCCTTATCTGTGTTTTCCCAAGGCTCTTTTTGTCCCGTCTGCCTACAGAGCGCTTCTCTGCATTTCCTCTGCAATCACCTTTTTATTTTTCAATATGGACTTAATTAATTGGTCATTCAACGCGATTGATAAGATTTTTTCTACAATGAGGACGGAGGAGGGGGCTCACGCTTGTCCTCAGGGGACACATGCAGCGGGATACATGTTCGATTCCTGGAAAAAGTGGAATATCATCTGTCTCTCTCAGCTGTCCATTGAGGACGTCGAAGATATGTGGATATTTGGCCTGATGATCGTTGGATTTCTTCTGATTGGAGTGGGAGGATATCTGGCTTTCCGTAAAATTGGGATGATGGGAGCGATTGGAGGGCGACCCGCATCCATGGACGGCACCGTCCGGGTGGATACCTCACAGACTGGGACGTTGCTCGAGGTGAATCGCAAGCTGGACAATGTCTTGGCTGCGTTACCGGTGTTAGCGTGCAGGATTGATAACATCTCGGAAAGGGTCACCGGACGGTGTGGAGATGTTTAATCACTGAATTGGCTTCACTGGAGGACTTGAATGATCAATACAGACTTAAGGCAGAGAGGAAAAATTATCTCTGTCTGACCCAAAACAAAGTTCTGTTATCGAATCTGACGCCATAAGCAGCCTTGGAGTTGCATGCAAAACCCCCATGCTGGAAGGAATGCAGACAAATGCTGTGAATCTCTATCCCCCCCCCCCCCCCCCCCCCCCCCCCTTCAGATTGTGCTCTCTACCGAGGTCATGAAGCTGAAGGACTCACTGCTCTCTGTGCTTCCCCTGACCTCCCTCCCACCTGCGGAGCCAGCTGGTTGAGCGCCACACAGGCCGCCCCCGCTGATGAAACCAGGATCCCAGCCCCACCCCCCTACCTACCGGGTCTCATGTTGTGAACTGTGACGTTTGTTGCTTACATGTCGGGTGTTTTTTTTGCATTGGAGCGCTACACCCTGCTGGTGTAACCCTGTTAATGCCTTTTTTCTCCCTCCCTGAACTTCCCTCCTGTATTCCCTTACTCATCTACAAAGGAGCGCCGTTATGGCTGCTCCCATGGTCTGCCTGTATCTGTCTTGTCTATATGTGTGTGTGTGTGTGTAACCTTGGTCAGGTTGTACTGTGGAGTCAAGTTCCTACGCTCTGAAAGGAGCGCTGGCAATAAAATTCTTCTGATTCTGATTCTGATTAAAGTCTGACAGAACCAAAGAACGCATTGCTAGTTTGTAAATGAACACAGATTTTCGTGTTTATAATCTGGTAGCATGAATTGTTCGATGCATCGGGATGCGGGACATAAACGATTCTGCATCGTAGAAGAGTACGCCATAATCGATTATAATGGAATGTAGTTTGTCCAGCGCAGCATCCAAATCTGTCAGAGTGAGCGTCCTCCACATTTACCAACTGGTTCCGCCTTAATTTGGTACTGCAGGGCTGAGCGCTGGAGTTGTAATCTGAGACCGAACCGGAACCGAATCAGCCCGACCGGTTCTGTTGGATTTGGGCCGTGAATTATGTTAAATGAGCAGGATGTCATGCGGCGTGCTCCGCTCGCTCGATCAGCGACTGAGAGAGACACTGCTCACACGAGAGGATCGGAGGACGCTCCTCCAAACCGATGCTCCAAACACGTTATTATTTTCATAATTTAATTATTATTTCTCCTGGAAGCGCTCAGTCAGACCGAGTGTTGTGATGCTGGGAGATCCGGTCTTGGGGAGGGGGCGGGGTCAGTGATGGCGGCTGCAGCGTGATCGTCTGTCTCTTTTATGTAGGGACACGGAAAAGTTAAAAGGAGAGAGAAATAGAAGATAGAAGTTCTTGTTCCACTTTATTCTTTTGTTTCATGAAGATAAACTGATGTTAAATTCATCTTAAAGAGAAACTGGGAGGAAGCTTTGGTTCCTTTTAAGTTACAGGAGATCTTGTCTCCTATCTGCTCCCCCAGAGACAGCATGGACATGAGGGTCACATGGTGAGGGTCACACAGGTCAGGTTAGTGGAAAGGTTTGTAGTTAGCTGGTTAGTGGAAGAGATCCATCAGCTGGGTAATTTAATCCTAATCCAGCCCACAGCCTTCTGCTGGTGTTATTATCAGGAAGAATAAAACACACATCTTAAATATTATTGGAAGTGTAGAATTTGTTTTATGTTTTATTGTTTTCTGCATCAAACAGAACTTGATTCATTCTCCAACATTTCAGAAATGAACCACTGGGTTCAAATAAAATAAACTAAGTCAAACATTTAATTTGGTGTTATTTCTGACACCCTTCAACTGTGGCATAAATATTTGACTCTAGAGCTGCTCAGAGACACTAAACACTCATATATGAACCCATTATGTATTTTATTATTACATTATGTGTCCTGTAGGTTTTCAGTACTTTTTTAGATTTTGTGAGTTTTTGCAAAGCGTGTTTTTCTCAGCCTGAGGCGTGGTGGTGAACGAGGAAACAGATGTTTTACTTTGTTAAATCTTCTTAAATGTTTAAATGTTTTGTCCTAACCTGTTGTGAATCGAGAGCTTTTGAGGGATGGCAGGTTGTGTCAATTATGTTTCTGATTAAAAAAAAAGCAATTATCTGACATCTTCTATTTATCGATGAAAACAAATCAATATGAAATAATCGTGATGCATCGGGATATCGAATCGAATTGAATCGTTGACCCAATAATCGTTATCGAATCGGGAGACAAGTGAAGATTCACACCTCTACTGGGAATGTCGCTGTTGTAAGACGACAGGAACAAACATTGATGTCAAACTAGCCGTTAGCACATCAGTTCTGAAGGACAATAACCAATTTCTCTGAGCAGAGGCTGTTCATGAAGCTATCTGAGTAAGGCAGAAACACTTATACATTCTCTTAAGTTGTTGGTTCCACGCCCACACTGATACAGGTCAGAACAGAACCTTTCACTCCAGACCGGACTTCCTCAAACCTGTCGACATCATAAATTAGGACCCGACCAAGCCCCCACAATGCAGCTCAAAAATTTGAGCAATCCCGGAAGTACCAAAAATTGCAGTTCCACCCTCATCCACTAGGGGCTGGTACCAGAAGCGAGCAAATCCTCATTGACTCCCATGTTAAAAAAACAAATTTCACAGCAGAAATAAACATGTTTACAGCCTGGTTCCAAAACATGTTTTTTGTTTAAATGATCTAGTTTACACTCATGACAACTCTGAGGGGGGGTGAATTTTTTCTCACTCTTCTGTTTAAGTGTATTAAAAGCCTAAAATTCTGTATAATTAATGAGCATCAGACCCACGTGACCACAGAGCTACCTCCGTGGAAAGGCCTCAGTAGAGCCTCGGTCTGGCTTGGAAACTGTTCCGGGATTTTGAGTCTCTCTGTGTGTGTATTCTTTTTTGGATATTATTTGTGCAACTGTTGGACAAAATGACTTGCTGTGGCATTAATTGCACTAATAGAGCGTCCAAGGAGTCTCCACTTCATTTTTTTCAGTAAGTAAAATTATATGTATGTATTTTAGGTCACTGCCGAGCTGAGCTTAGATTTTAACATGTACTGTTTAACCATGAAATTTAAATGTAATAGGGAAAAACCCAGTACATTTAACATAATGCTGCACTTTAGAAAATGGGTTAAAATATAACATGTTGGTGGAGCTGGGTTCCGACTATCGGCTTGTGGAGCTCTCGGGAGACGGATGTTTCCCACACGTTTCTCTCCTCCCCGCAGCTCGGCACATCTCTGTCTGATAGCGGCTTCTGTGTGCTGTGCGGGCTGACGGCTTGTGGAGCTCTGGGATGGAAACCTTTCCACCCGGTTCTCCCCAGCGGCAGCTCTGCGCATCTCAGATCACAGCGGCGCTTGTCTGCTGTGCGGCTGCCGGCTTGTGGAGCTCTCGGGAGACCTCTGTGTTCCACCCGGTTTTACCCAGCGGTCAGCCCGGCGTATCTCTGACTCAGAAGCTCCGGTGTTGTGCACAGTTAACTCCGGTTGTAGCTAGGTTGCTACCTCCATTAGCTTAGCTCCCAACTCCGCATTAGCTTTGGGTTAGCTTCAGGTTAGCTTGTAGCTAGTTCGACTGGGTGTCGTCAGTTGATCCCAGCCTTACAGCCCCACCCTCAGCTCCACCTCTCTTCCCTTTTATGGAATTGTCTGGGCTTGACGGAACCTGTGACACGGTCAAAATGGCGGTGGTGGCCACCTCCCATTTTAGCACAAAAACTTATTATTGGATTCTATGGAAACCCATTGTCCAATATTTATATGTCGATGGACCCGACCGATATATCGGCTGGCCGATATTGGGGTCATTAACAGTATCAGCTATCGGCCAAAAAGACGGCCGATATTGCGCTACCTATCCAGCAGATGGCGCCAGCTTTATGAACTCATGTTGTGTGGCTCCACTTCTTTGAACTTTGAACACAAATTATTGTTTTGGAACTTTTTTAATTTATTCTTATTTATGTTTCTTATGTGCAATTATTTCCTGCCCAGGGTGAATGAGTTCACCAAGTTAACTTCCTCAGAGTGTTACTTTGTTACAAAGCACACGTATTACGTTTGATTTATTGCTGAATTTTTATTATTTTAATATTCTTATAGGGATCTTCTGTCCCTAAACGTGTGTGTGTTGTTAGATTCCCCAGAGTTAGCTAAGTCAGAATAAACATGTTGTAACCAGTTGTTTTAGCATACAGCAATGGAAGGGAAGGCTTGCATTCACTTACATAAAAAAACACTACAATGTATGTGAATTCACTTACATTGTTTTTTGCTAAACTAAGAAAACCAGCTGCTGCCAGATCATGTTGGGCTGGTTATAAAATGCTTTTTCTGACTTGTCTAACTCTGGGGAATCTTAACAAGACACCGTTTTACTGAGTGGTGGAATATTCCTTAAAGTTAAAATGTATTTGTGGAAACCACAGTTTACAAGAAAAATCTTCAATGTTAGATTTATGCTGTGACTAAGGCCTAGTCCGCACGTAGCCGGTTTTTTTAAAAACGAATATCCGCCCCTCCAAAAACTTGCATCCACACCACCTCGTTTTTAAAAAAAAACTGTCCACACGTATCCGGATAAATACGTTGTTAACAGTGGCGGCTGGCCAGTAGAGGGCGATAGTACACCGCCCTCCCAGTTTTTAATTTTTATTAAAAAATAAATAAATAAAATTAACAATAATTACATATTCTAAGTTAATTGTGTGTTTTGTAACAAAAATAAATCATATATATATATATATATCTATATTGGTCTCTGCCGACCTCTGCCGAGCGGTGGAGGCTGTGTGTGCTGTTTTTCAATCGCCCAAACAGGACGAGACCAGCTGTCCAATTGCTGACAAGAATATCAAAGGGTACGAATGGGAATGTATCCAATCAGCGTCGACGTTGTTTCAGAACGTTTCAGTAGCATGATGGGCGATGGAGCTACCGCCAAAGGATTCGTTGGTGTTCAGTAGAACTCGGCAGAGTCGTTTTTGGTCGTGACGCAGATGTAACATGGACGCCGCCGGTGACTAGAACCAGCATACACCGGATCTCAGCAGCCACTGAATTCAGTTCGGTCTCTTCTCCAGTATCCGTTCGAGAGGAGAACTATGGTGGAAAAACTTAATGTCAAAGAGCTTGGACCAGATCAGCCCGACGTATAAGCCAGCAGGAGAAGGAGAGAGGTAAACTGTACACACTAGGCTTCTCCCGAAATTGGTACACCAAGAAGGCTTGGCTAGCTGGATGCAATCACGCTAATGCGTTATTTTGCTTTCTGTGTTTGTTATTCAAAACGGCTGGGACAGATAAGGCATGGATGAGTCAGGAGTTACAGACATGAAACATTTTTCTGAGAAGGGGAAGAAACACGAGTCATCCCGGGCACACATGGACAACACGGTGAAGCTAGCCATGCTAGGCAGCAGAGCTAACGTTGCCATGCAGGGAACAACAGCAGCTGGGTGCAGAGGTAAGCTGTACATTACATTTCTGTGAACAAGACAATCAGAATCAGAAATCCTTGGTTGTCCCACAAACCGGGACATTTGTTTAATAACATGTTTAATGTGCAATAACTGTAAAAACTAATTTCAACACACATACTTATTATACATATTTAATCACGTAAATGTGTATTTCATGTAAATTTTTACATACATCAATCTGATTCCATTTTACTTGTTACACTTCTGCTGCAGCAAACAAATTTCCCAGCTTTTGGGACAATTAAACATTTCTGATTCTCAATTAGATGTTTTTACCTCAAATGTAAAAACATCTGATTGAGAATCAGAAATGTTTTATTGTCCCAAAAACTGGGAAATATGACATTTGTAAGAGGATACTGATGACATTATTTCCTATGAAAGTGTTTCCTATGTACTCATCTGTTGTTTTTTATTTATCATATGACAGGTTTTTCACACCATCCTGAGCCATGCAAAAGAAGATTCTTGTCACCACACCCATGACCACAGCCGAAACAGAAAGGTGCTTTTCTACTTTAAAGAGGATTAAGACTTTCCTTGAGGAACACCATGACACAGGATGGGCTGAATGCTCTTGCCATGCTCTCCATGGAAAAAAAAGCTTGTCACAAACATTCCTGACTTCAATAAAAAGCTAATCGAGAGCTTTGCCACTCAGAAGGACAGAAGGGCAAAATTTCTGTACAAATGAGGTATCACACACACACACACACACACAAATGCATCCACTTGATCTTTGTATAAAGTTGACCTTGGCACAACACTCCAGAAATATTTAACAGTGTAAATTTCTGGCATTTTGTCTAAGTGGTGTTTACTACCATTACTGTAACAGTGACCTGCTCATAATTTTTGGTGTTCACTCAAATGTTGAAACTAAACAAAATGTTTTTGTTACTTGCCTCTTGCATTGCCTATTTACCATTTATGGTCATGTTATTTTATGTGCAATTTAATGCAGTATTTTTCAACCTTGGTCTGCAAGGCAGCGTGCCAATAGTCAGACACACCTGGATTAATCAGTTTGTCCAATGATGTAAGACAGGAAATAAAAGAGCTGTGCTTAATTCAGGAAATAGTGAAGTTGTGCACAAAGCTCAGAAAGCACAAGTTTGTTTAAAAAAAAAATAGCACAGCCCCACCAAAAATATTTTTCACCAGCCGCCACTGGTTGTTAAAGACATGCCAGACCTGTAGGCGGCAGTACTTCCCCCGTTCTTAACCTCGTCCTTCGTCTGTGGTCCCCCGCAAGGAGCAAAAACAAACACGCAGAAAGCGCTTGGACAATTGATAAAGCGAGCGCAGCTCTGAGGGCATCCATGCTGTCGGCTAGTGTAAACACAGGTCGCACGCGTGATGTCAGCATTTTTTTGTCGCGGAAAGTGACGTTGCGGACCTTAAAACTCCGGTTTTGTCTGTCCACACGCAGACACCCAAAACGGAGAAAACGCAGATCTTCACTTTGGCCGGAGTTTTCAAAAAGATCCGTTTTCGTGTGAAAAAACTCCGTTTTCGTGTGGATGACAGGCCAAAACGTAGAAAAATATCTACGTTTTGGCAGATCCCCAGCTGTGTGGACAGGGCCTGAGTTTGTGTGTTCTGTTGTTTTTGAGATCTGCTAAATAAATCTTATTTGCATGACTTGGAAGCCCTAGTGAGTTATGGAGACAGTTCTTTGGTGTGTAATAGAGAAATAAGTTTGCATCAAAAAGGCAGAGAATGAAGGGTTTAAGCTTAAGAACATTTTCATTTCTTTTTTTTGTGAGGGAGATTTATCGGCCATTATATCGGCTATCGGCCTTTGTTAAAAGTTTTATATCAGTATCAGTCCCAAAAAAGGCATATCGGTCGGGCCCTATCATAAATGTCTGATAAGAAAAACACCTGCAAACGAAAATGAGAGAGTAAAACACACACACACACACCTGTCAGAATGGTCTGGAAGGCCGTCTCTACGTTGGTGGAGTCGAGAGCCGACGTCTCCAGGAAGGATAAACCATTTTTCTCTAGAGGGAAAAGTTCCAGACATGAAACCAGCAGCATTCCTCTGATAACGGCCCGTTTGACCCGCTTCACCACACAGAACCACTAAATGTTTTCACAGAGACTCCCTCCCACCACATAACTTCTTATCTGTTCAGCTGATGACTCAAAGGTTCTTGCCGTGATCAATTATTTACTTTTATTCACCACAATGTGCAGCCTTCACACTTCTGTCCTTTTCCCTCTAAATAAAACTCCTACAAAATAAAACTGCTGACGCTGTTGTAGAAATACAATTCCAACTCTAAAAATACAGCATGAAGGACTAACTCTTGATTTTTGTGATAAAATTCTAAACTCTGAGTCCTTTTAGGTTTTGTGAAAACAACAAATTCAACATTTAAATCCAAATAAATTAGTTCAGTTTAGCTAAATTCATTCACTTGAGTCTTTATTTGTTGTTGTCGAAAATGTTGTAATTTGTTTATTACGATGTTTGAAATGTTTTTTTTCTGAAGGACGCTTCCGACTTCCTGGATTTTGATCGATAAAATATCAACTCAAATGGATGGATCTGATTGGCTGGTTCTATGAATTGAATTTCCATGTTGTTTCTGGCCACAGGTTGCAGACCCAACTCAAAGTTTGGATGTTTTACACGTCTCTAGCCTAAAGGGGATGGAAGCGAGACTGACCAGCGAACGCTCGGGCCTCGTCGGTGGGAACGGCCCTCAGGTGGCGCAGGTCGCTCTTGTTGCCGACCAGCATGATGACGATGTTACTGTCGGCGTGATCTCTCAGCTCCTTTAGCCAGCGCTCCACGTTCTCGTAGGTTAGGTGTTTGGCGATGTCGTAGACCAGGAGAGCGCCCACCGCCCCTCGGTAATACCTGCAGCACACGCACCAAACATCAGCAGCTTCCAACCAGGAAGGAGATCAGACTTTAAGCCCAGGGTCTCGTGACCTGGTCAGGTCTAAAACTTGTCTACGGACCAGTTTAATCTGAAAATGTGCATATTTTTGCATGTTTGTGTCTCCGGCCAGTCACCCACAGTGAGATTCTGGAATTAGGGGTAAAGGCAGCAAAACATAACCAATCCTGTCATAGTAAATTAAAACCGATTCCGTGTGACATCAGTGCTGGTCCAACCCAACCAGACCTGTGGTTCTGTACTCACGCTGATGTGATGGCCCGGTAACGTTCTTGTCCAGCTGTGTCCCAAATCTGAGCCTTCACCGTCTTGCCGTCCACCTGGATGCTACGCGTGGCGAACTCCACCCCGATGGTGCTCTTACTCTCCAGGTTGAACTCGTTACGAGTGAAGCGAGACAGCAGGTTACTCTTTCCTACACCCGAATCACCGATGAGGACCACTGAGGCAAAGCAGGACAAAGGAAACACATCAGACATCCTGAATCTAGAAAACCGCAGAAATAAAGATAAAAACAGTTTAAAGTCCAAGTAACAAGAATGAGGAGAAACTAATGGATGTCTATTTTATTTATGATGCAGGATTATTGGTGCTCCCTGACCCACTATCCTTAAAGAACCTTTAGAACAACATCAAGCATCCAGAACCCGGGAGCGGTTCTAGACCTTTCTGGCTCTGGTACAAAAGTTTCTATTATAGCCATTTATTTTAGGGGTGCACCAATCTATCGGCCCCAATCTCGGGTTCTTTTCAAGCCAATCATTGCTATAGAATAATTTTTGAACATGCGTGTGAAAACGGGTACAAAAGTTTTGTTTTCAAATTTTGAAAAATGAAAGTCTAAAGGAACAAATATGATTTTGTTGTTCAAACAGCAATGCTAAAGACGTTCATTTATGCTTGAAAGTAGGGATGCACCGATACGATACTGGTACCAATACCGATACCAGTATTGGTAAAAGTTAGCCGATACCAGGAACTGATACCAATGCAGTTGCTTGAAAATGGCTTCCCTGTAACTTGTCATTTCTGTTCACCTAATATTTTAGTTTTGTGATGATTTCCATTCATATATTTTACTTTTTATCTACTTCACAAACTTTTCCTGTTGAAAATCAAATCTGTATTCCAAATCATCGCATTTTTTTTGTTTGGTAGAAGTATCGGTATTGGTAATCGGGATCGGGGAGTACTCAGATCCAAGTATCGACATCGTATCGTTTTGGAAAAAAGTGGTATCATTGCATCCCTACTTGAGAGCATTACCTCATGTCCAGTTGAAAATGGTATTGTTTCATGAGTATTCATGTTGGTTTTCACAATAAAAGGAAATTGAAACATTGACATAATCTGCTTTTAGTTGAGACAAAAATCAGTATCAGCAAGTCTGTTTTTATTTTTTTCAAGATTGGTGAACAGTGATCAGCCAAAAACTGCAATTGGTGCACCCGTAATTTATTTATATTTTTTTATTTGTCTCTGGGCGTTTTTTACTCAATATTTTTTAAAGAGACAATTTGAAGTTTTTACCATAAATTTCAGGAAATATCCATCAAAATGTTGTTGAAAATGAATGAAATAATTCCCAGTTGTTGCTTTGTAACATATAACCATAAAAATCTGGTCTAAAATACATAGGAGCGGGATCGTTTTATCAGGATGTTAGGAGTCCCACCCCCTTGGCCCCGTCCACTGACAGGTGCCATGTTAAAGAGCAAGTCACCCCTACCAGAGTCTCACTCCACTCCCATTTCCTGTTTAAAAAATGCTGCTGCCTGGCAGACCGAAAGGGCAGAGCCGCTAACACACACACACACAGGCTCACATTGGCCGTGTTCAAGATGATCCAGTTCTGCGCAGATTCGATCACCGGTGATCGGCGCGCAGTGCATGCTGGTTAGATTTGTGTCTGACTTGACGCCGACTTGCTCTGATGTCATGCCTACGTAGGCAACGATAACCTCGTGAGATCAAGGCGGCCGCAGATTTTGGAGCAAGGCGCTGCAGTTGCTCTCCGCCGGTTGCAAAACCTAGGGCGTGACAGGAAACGCCTCGCTCTCACCTGATCTAAGATGACAACTATATAGGCCATAAAGAGAAATGTGATTTGTGTTTTTATTGTCACATTTCCTATGAGCACACTAAAACTCTACAGCTGCTAACCTTTACTTATTATTACTTCATATGCACATGTCAACATTACATGATATTGTCAGGATGTGTTTCAGTTGCTAACAAGCACCAGAACTTTAATTACAAATTAAACAAGTATGAATGAATGTGATATCTTTATCCATCATCACCTGCGAGCTACATGTAGGGAAATTTGATCATCTTAAGCCTGGTTCATGCTTCTCCGTCAGCTCCGCAAAGGACAGACACGCACGGATTGACGGAAGCGTTTTGCTCTCATACTTCTCCGTCTCCTGGAGAGTGTTGCAAAGCAATTCCCCAGCAGGACAACAGAGGACGTAGGCTGTTCTGTGGTATCCTGTCATGCATCCGGTCCAAGATGGTGTGTTTATATTATGTTTTTTTGTATATAAGAGACTTTTTAACAGACAAATTTGTCTCTCATTCTCCTCCACCTCTTCATGCGCTCGCCACCTCTAAACCCACGTTTCCTGTCATTTCCATCCACTAATAAAACGCTTGCTGCGCATCTTTTCACTCCTCCTGTCACTGGGGAATTAAACATTCATATTTTAGAGTTTTTTCGCGAGGTATTCTTCAAGCTGCTCCGTGTCTGCCACTAGTTATCCTCGGCTCTCTTTATGTTTTTGAGGGCGCAATGGCGGCGCTGTAGACAACAGCGGCGTCCTGACCAATCACAAGCTTGCGTTCTCCGTCTCGACTGACGGATGTTTAGAAAAGAGAGCTCGACTCCGTCCGTCCTCGCGGAGCTCTCTGACGTTGCGTGTCTCAGCACTGACGCAGATGGAGGAGCATGAATCAGGCATTAAACGCCGGCTTTCAGCCACTCCCCCTGCTGCATCCGTCTGCTTTCATCTGTTTTCCAAGCGAGGCGCTGCTCAACTCGAACAAGGCCAACAACATTGTGATCTCATAATGTACCAGCTGACATCATAGTGTACTTCTCAGCCAATAGCGATGGCAGATTTAAATTTGAATGCAGTGCAGAGTTTTTACCTGACAACATTGACAGTTTTAAGCAGAATATTTCAATTTTAACTAAGATGCACTAAAATAAATCGCTTGGGGGGGGGGTTGAAAAAGACAAATACAACCGTTTTACTTCTTATTCAGGAGTTATTTTAATGATACTTGATTATTTTATGTTCTCTTTGGTGATTCTGCTCCTTTCAGGATTTGGTGTTTTTATAAACTGATAAATGAAGTTAAAACTCTCGGGAAAACAGGAGGTTAGTGGAAGAAATGTGAGAATACGAAACCGGAAGCTCACGTGAGAGTGGAATATAAATAACCCACAGATGAACAACCTGATCAATAATCTGATATTAATAACCTGATCAATAAAGCAGTTAAGAGTTTTTCGTCCAGTTTCACCTCAGCTGGACCAGCCCGGTTCTGCCTCGGGCTCTGAATTTGCTGTTAAACGTCGTCTCGGGCCCGTTAACGGTGCTGCTGGCAGATCGGTCCGGATCGCATCAGGAGGATCTGATCATGTTAGGTCTAGGTGTGTCCCGCTGGCTGTCGGCAGGCTAACCCGAGCTAACCGCTATCCCGAACCAAGATGCGCTTTAGCACGAACAACAAGCACCGGATGAACAATTTCCTACCCGAACGAGTCAGACATGGTTCGTCGGGAGTTCGGAAAACCGATTCAACGCGCTGACTCACGTCAGAGAAGTTTGTTGAGACCCGAACACAAAAGGCTGACGGCGGTTCCGTTAGCTCCACCGCCTAGCCTGCCAAATAACAACAAACACCGCTTTACCTTTGAATAAATAGTCGTATTCATCATCTCTGGTGCCCATCGTCCCAACACTGGAGAGCGGGTCCAAAAATGATTTTGTTAAAACAGAAAAGACGAGATTTTACTGTCCGACGGGAATTAGATGGGAGATAGTTTCTTCTTCGCTGGAATCCTGACAGCGGAATGCAGCGGATACTCTGCCCCCCAGCGGCCACAGGACGGAGCGCAACCTGGAGGTGTGTGTACCGAAAATGCCAGCCGAGACATTTGCATGCATTGTTACGGGAACGCGCATATTGAGGAAGACATTAATTTGGAGGCCTTAAAACTCATAAATACATTATTTTTTCATTAAATGTAGAATACTGTATGCTCACCAAGTGTCAAATAAATAAAGTGATTTCAAACTTAAAAGTTATTTATTTTTAGGCATCAATACATTCATTAATAACAGTATAATTAGGCTATGAATAAAGTATAAAAATGATGCTAACCTGAGTGTTTATCTCTTCAGTTAGTTAAAGTGACCTGCACATCTCGCTGTAGCAGGGCAGCTGTGGCTACATTGTAGCTCACCATCACCAGCATGTGAATGTGTGTGTGCATGGGTGAATGGCTGGTTCGTTGTAAAGTGCCTTGGGGGGTTTTAGAATCCTAGAAGGCGCCACAGGCCATTTACCATTTTGCATAACTAAATCTCAACACTTCTAGGATGGAGGGGTTGAAGGGCTTCTGGGGCTAGTGTCCCATGTCCTTCAGTCCCAAAATAAACAATACAGATATTAAGCTCACTATAGTAGCCCAGCATAGCCTATACATGTGAACATGTAGGATAATGTCATTTGATCCACAAGAGTTTAATCTTCTAAGACATTGGTTCTCAATCCTGGTCTCCAAAGGGCGGTATCCATGTTTTCGTTGTTCCTCTATACTCTACATAATTCAGTGGTTGAATCACCTGTTCAGAAGCTCCTCAGGCTCCGTAAAAGCCTGTTAATCACCTGCTGATTACAACCAGGTGTGTTGAAGCAGGGAAACAACTAAATCATGCTGGCTATCGGGACCACCCCTGCTATAAGATAACAGGGAGGATTTTCTGGGCCTGCTGTAATTTGTGGTGGTCAGTATCCCCCTCTTTTCACCCCATAATTGATCATGCAGGTATGAATCTCACTCCAGGAGGCCTGTTTTTATTTTCATCTCTTAGAGATTCTGAATGAAGTCTCCTGACGTCAGGAGGAAGCCCCGAACTTGAGAAACTCCACAAGATATATTTATTTCTTTAAGAAGTTCCTCCATTTTATGTTCTGTAGAGACAAAATTATTTAAAAAAAAACGTCAGATTATTTATTTACTCTCTGTAATAAAAACCAGCACATGACGTTGCATCTTACATTTTTGCCCCAGGTGCTTTTGGGTTTCTTAGTCTTCATGTCCTCCAGAGACTCGTAGGTGTTGCTTTGGACTTCAGTGGCCTCTCCAGGGACCAGCTCATAGGTGTCTTCTGTCTGCGTAGTTGGTGCTGAACCCTTAGAAACCTCAGCGTACATGACACCCCGCCGCTGAGCTGCACTTTCTCCAGGTACCCTGGAGGGCTCGTACAGAGGGTTAGACCTCAGCTGGTCCTGGTTTCTGATCTGCTGCTCTGACATGAAACTTCTCAGATCTCCTTCGGGGGCGTGGAGGGAGTAGGTTTGACAGGTGACCCTTTTTGGAGAAGAAGGTGCTTGAAGGGAGAGGCTGCTTAACTGGTTGGAGTATGCCTCCTCCTCCTCCACTTTGGTGCCCAGGTAAGGCAGAGACTGGCTCCTGGTCTCCACCTGGGTCAGATCGGGACATTCCAATTCTAAAGGTCTAAACAAATCCCCATTGATCTTTTGAGTTGGGTTGGTTCTGAGTCTCTGAGCTTTGTTGGACTCAAACTGGGTTTCACTAGGATGTGGTGTCGTTTCAGGCAGAGATCCACTCAGGCTGAAGGCTGGAGGCATTCCCCTCTTTGGTACTGGAGGCAGAACCTGGAACACAACGTGGGGATTAGGGTCAGGTCAGAAACACAGGTATAGAAGATTTTTAAAAGGTATCTGATGTTTAGGTAAAGTGAGCCGTTTTCATGTTTGCTCTTTGCAGCGTACCAAATGGCCAAATATTTCATCTAAATGACCAGAAATGAACTTTTAACTTACAGACCAAACTTCTTCATACAGGTCTATCTGACACCGTGGTGCCGACATGAAGTCTATGTACGTCACGAGTCCTCATGGCTGCAGAGGATGCAGGACTTCTTATCTATCCTCTTTGAATTCAATTCAAGTTTATTTATATAGCGCCAATCACGACAAGAGTTGAATGAAGTTTATCTTCCCTGGCTCCAATGACTACATAAGTTTACAAGTTTTCATAATCATATTTTGTTGAATGGACAATATGTTTAAATCCAAAGTGTTTTAATAACATGTCTAATAATGAATGATGGGAAACATGGACGCAGAGCTCAGATTTGATTCTCAAGTAAATGGAATCGTGAGATCTCGCTATTTTCATCTCTGGCAGATAATGAAGATTAAGCCATTTCTGTCACGTAGCCATTTGGAAACTGTAATCCATGCCTTTGTTACCTGCAGGCTGGATTATTGCAACTCGCTATATGCGGGGCTTGGGCAAGCTCCAATAGCACGCCTCCAGGCAGTTTAGAACTCTGCAGCTCGGTTGTTAACATGTACCAGGAGGTCTGAACATATTACACCAGTCCTACGTGCCTTGCATTGGCTCCCTGTCTCCCATCGCATCAGGTTTAAGGTAATCCTGTTTGTGTTTAAGGCGTTAAACTGGGGGGGCACCTAAATACCTGTCAGACATCATCCACCGGCATGTCCCGGTGCGTTCCCTTAGGTCAGCTGACCAGAGACTAGTAAGTGTGCTCAGGTACAGCTTGAAGTCTCGTGGGAGCCGTGCCTCCTCAGTGCTAGGACCAAGGCTCTGGAATGAGCTGCCAGCCGATATGAAGCAGGCCCAATCACTTGAGAGCTTAAAAAGCCGACTAAAAACCCATTTGTTCTCGATGGCGTTTGGACATTGAAGTTGGGTTTGGGTGGGCAGCGTCACTTTGAATGTTTCTGGATCTGATTCTGGAAACAGGGCTGATATGGACTGCAAAACTGTACTTGGGAATTCTTATTGTATTTTAATGGTTATATATGTCTGTTTTATTGCTGTGTTTTTTATTGGTGTACAGCGCTTTGTTTGTCTGCTTTGGGCATGTGAAAGCACTTTATAAAGTTGATTAGATTTGATTTGATTTAAATCTTCCAGCCTTCCTTCCAGCCTGATCACAGTCCCTTGACCTCGTTTCCGCGCCTGACCATCACCAAGAACTCTGCCTGCCACCACGACCCTAGCCTGTCTACGACCACGTCTCCAGCCTGCTCCCTGTACCTGCTTAGCTCCGATCTGGTTTCTACCCACGCCTGCCTTCGACTCTGCCCTTACCTGAGTTTTTTCCGGTAAGACCTCCTATTAGCTTCTGGCTAATAAAGACTGTTAAAAATGTCTTACTGTGTTTGGTGTCATCACGGGTCCACCAAGTTCTGTTCATGACAAGTTCACTTCCTGGACTAGTCAGTTCTCAGCCAGCTTCCCGGTTCGGCCGACCGGGTAAGTAAAGCACTTGGAACCATCCTCTCTCTTGACTCAAGGTCAAAGCCTCTTTGCACTTGAAAGTGGCATCAGACGCATCAACCCATCAGACGTGGAACATCTAACTAGCAGACCCTGGTAGCATCTTATGTGATACTTGAATTCAAAGGGAGCTGCAACTCTTTAAGATTCCAGGAGCCACTCAATCCGGTGACATCACCACTCTGGCTTCCTCTCCTCCGGACCGCAGAGAGCTGCCGACACACAAGGGTATCATAGGTCTGCACACTGTCGTGGGATGGCTTTTTCATGAATAACTAATGGCTTGTTAAACCATACTGTAGGACTGATTTTACAACCCAGACATCATCCCAATGTGCAAAGACCTGGTTTGGATGTCCTACAGACATAGTCTGGACCAGGGGTCGGCAACCTGTTCCCATCAAAGAGCCATTATTACCCGTTTCCCACAGTAAAGAAAACACTGGGAGCCACAGCAGCCGCGGCGTTGTGGGCGGGGCCTACCCTCAGACAGCAGAGAGCTGCTTTAACCAATCACAACAGGTGACAGCAGCCAGTACCGGTCGCTCGTGTACGTCAAAGTTATCTTTCATAAGAAGATAATCAATAAAACGATTTATATAAAGTGGATCCAGAAGTCGTAGCCCGTCTCTGCCGACAATATTTTGATATTTTTCACCCTATTGGTGGTTTTACTGAGCAGGTGCCACTTTTGTCACACGCTTCTTTTTAAAACATGTTTAGACTGTTCAGAATACAAATCCAGGCTCTGTCACGTTTGATTGTTGTAATTAAACTTTGTAGGTGGGGAAGGTCAGAAAAGGATCCGATCATTTTGTTTTTCCCTCATTTACAGTGACGGAGATAACGGCGCAGTGCGCCAGGCTCTGGTGTTAATCAAGTTAAATTATATCTCTTTGCAACAATTTTCACAAGAAAACAGAACAGTTAAAAGCAGGGCTTGTGTTGACCGGACAGTTCCCATATTTGACCGTTTATTTTAACGGAGAAAGAATAGAAAGAATTACCCCGACGCATGCAGACGAACTGACATTTTATTCGTTATGCACATCACTGATGTAGCTAAATCACTCAAGAAAAGATTTCTTTCTGAAGATCTGAGCTGGACACTGCTCAGCGCAGCTCACTGTCAGCGCGTACATAAGGTGCACAGCGAGCTGAAGATGTGGAGAGGGGCTTGGAGCGCGTCGCAGAACCAGAGCGCATGCAGGAAGATTCCTCCGACTGAAGCTAGCATTTTCCAAACCCGGTCTCTCAGAGAGACTTGTCACTTAGAAAATGTTCCCTGATTATGAAACTTTGGCTGAATAGCGCTTGTTCCTGTCTCCAATGTGGCGTCACATCCATGAGCCTGTCTGTGGAGAATCCCAGAATCTCACATCCTCTTCAGCTCAGAAAGCACCTATGATTACGCACAAGCGTGACGCATCAACCCGGTCTCACAGTAAGACCGGGTTGGAACTGTTCAGGTTTACGCAGACAATCTTTACATTTAGAATTAGCTTACAGATGTAAAATTAATGCAGTAAAATATAAAGCTTTTTATTTAAATATCCATTCATTGTTTTACAAGCACAGAGAGCCGCATCAGATGGATGGAAGAGCCGCATGCGGCTCCAGAGCCGCGGGTTGCCGACCCCCGGTCTGGACCAACAGACTCAATATAGACATTATCTGCACGTCCCTGTGACGTTGACTGTTTGCTGTTAAGATCTCACAGATATTTAATAAGGTTTTGCTACAAAACATCTGAGCTTACATTCCATCATTCATTGTCTGTAATCTTGTCCATCCATCATTCATCATAATTTGTTCTGTGTCATTATTAGTTTAGAAATATAGAATTAAATTCATTCGTATAATCTATATCCTTGATTCTGACTAAATGAATATGAAGTGTGTGTTCCCTGAATAGTCTAAAGAATCTTAGTTAATATTAAATCAAATATTCAAAAACCAATCAGATTGATAATTCAATTTTATATGGAATTTCACATCTTAATGATCATTTAATAAGTGTAACTTCTTCCGTCATGGTCTGGCCTAATGTAATTTAGGCTGGTCCATTCTTTATTTAGGTAAACAAATTCAGTTTATTTATTTATTTGTTTATTTATTTATTTATTTATTTATTTATTCCCCCGTGTCCTGTCTGGCTGTGAAGCAAACAGAATTGATGTCTGAATGCTGGTGACAAGCCTTACAGATTTACTCTCAGGTGGAGCATCAAAGCGTCTGCTTTTAATGTCACGCCTGATACTTAAAACTTTATTGTTGTTGTTTTTGAATGCTTTTTAATTCCGACCAGACACGGAGAAAGAGGTGAAAGAGAAGGGAAGAGACAAAAGTTGGGGGGGAGGGGGGGGGGGGTCCACAAAAATAAACAATAATGAACAAGAGTCTGCTTCTAGACCTGCAGAAAGAGAGAAAAAAAAACAAATACACAAAAAACAAACAAAAAATGGGACACAACAACAATACAACAAGATCAAGCTATCACTGCATCAACTTGATGAAGAAATTTATAATCAACATTGTTTAAGAGAAAACAATCACACGATAATAAATCACAGTGCATTAAGTGCCCACCATAGTCTTAAGACCTGTGTTTAATGTGCCCAAGTCTATACTTATGAGAGCACCATGTGAGCACCTGTGTGTGTACACGCACTTGTTTATGTAAGATTTCTCTATAGGAGCGTTCAGTAGAGAGTGTGAGGGACCACAGATCTGCCTCCTAAAGATGTGCAGGAGACGGAGGGAGCTCCAAGTCCCAAAGATCCAGGAGCTGCCCCAGAGCACAGGAACCCCAGGGAGACTGCGACCAGAAAAGCCCCCGCCCCCCTCGAGAGGCGCAGAGGATCGCCCCGGGGGACCACAACCAGCAGCCGGCAGAGGCCCGGGAGATATCGGCGGCAAGCCCACAGGCCCGTCCTCAGCCTCCCACCCCCTAGCCGGCTGAGCCCGGGACCCAGCGACCCGAGACCCAGGGGCCACCACCCCGCTGGGGACCCAGCAGAGCCCAGGGACCCAGACCCCACCAGGCAGCCACTGGGATTGGTCAGGCAGATGCCAAAAATCTTAAACTCCCTGACCCGGGAGCCACGACCCAGGCAGACCAAGGCACCGCACTCCACACCAGGTGTGGCAGGGAGAGGGGAGAAGAAGATCTATATCATCAAAAGAAGTCCCAGGAGAAGGGAGGAGTCAAAGGCCCCACCTGACATATACAGTCATACACAAACACAGTCACACACTCCCTCCCTCATGCTCACACATACACATACAACCAAAGACTTACAAAAATGCACGACGGACACCCACTCATGCTCCCCATACACACCCTATTCACTCTGGTCCCGGTACTGCTGCACATGGGGTACAACCATTACAGGTTCCCAGAGTTCAACCCTTTCTGCTGGGGTGCTGATGAGCAGGCTCCCCCGCCCAACGCAACCCACCACCCCAGACCCCAACCGGATGGCCGGATCTCCTTCCTAGCCTCCAGCCCCAGGAAGCCAAGCGACAACAGAGGTGTGCTAAGACCCCTAGTCTCCCTCTGCCTGCTCTAATATGGTGTTAGTGAGTGTTAATGAGGCCAGATACTCCAAACTCAGACCCTCCACCCCCTCACCCACATCATCCTGCAGCTGGAGTTTGGGCTGACTTCGAGGGTTGTTCGGGTGGTTGGTTGATGGCCTGTACAGGTCCGGTAAGACAGCGGCCCGGCTTCTCTTCGGAGCAGCCTCGGTTGTTGCGGGCAATGGGGAGGAAAGGGACGAGTAGGGCAGGAGGGCCGGTTCAGTCTGTGGGGGTGGCAAAGAGGGACCGTGGGAGCGGCAGTGATGTGTCAGATGATGACTGGGATGCGCAGCTGAAGCAACAGAGGCTGGAGGAGGGTGGCTTTGTGATGCGAATCAGGGCGGTAGGAGGTGCACGTTTTGCCACCTCTAACCCGCTGGCGGTGTCCCGGGAGCTGAGTGCCGTGGTAGGGGATGTGCTAGATGCTACCATGGTGTTCAGTGGGCTGTGACGGAATAAGTCCCTGTGCCAAAAAGCACTGCAGCTTGAGAAGTTCCTGGGGGTGGACGTGATGGTTTCTGAGTCGAGGTCTGGTTGTATGATTAAGGGTGTGGTGTACGGTGTTTCCAACGAGGTCTCTGAGTCGGAGGTGTATGGTTCCCTGAGTGGGGCGGCGGTGGTGGCTGTTCAGCGTCTGGGGTTTAACGCAGGTGGGTCCACTCCGCTGCTGATTACTTTCGACGCGGTGGAGCTCCCTGCTCGTGTCCAGTTGGGCTTCCTAAGTTTCATGGTGAAGGTGTATGAGGAACCTCCTCTGATGTGTTTTAGGTGTCAGGGATATGGTCATGTGGCTGGTGCCTGTGTGGTGGGGGTGCGTTGTCGGAGGTGCGGGGGTGACCATGATGGCAAGAGTTGCGATTTACCGTTCTGATGTTGTAACTGTGGTGGGAACCATCAAGCGGCGTATATGGGCTGTGTGGTATATAGGGCGGTGGTGGAGGTGGGGAAGGTTCAGGCTGAGCATAAGGTGTCGTATGCTGAGGCAGTGCGTTGTATGGGGGTGCAGAATAGTGGTGCGTCCGGGCCTTGTCATGCTGTCAACTGGTGGTGGGGATGAGGGGGCAGGTGTGGTGGTTGTGAGGGATAAGAGGAAGTTTTTGGCATTTCTAGTTGAGGCCTTTTGGAGGGTGAAGAATGGAGTGTCCAAGTCCAATGTAGCTCGTGAGGTGACAGCAGTGGTGGGGGCCTTGTTGGGTTTTTCTGACATGTCCCACGAGGAGGTGTGGGGGCAACGTGTTTGCGGGGTGTTGGGGGTTCTGAGTCTGCTGTGGATTGTGGGACACCCTTGGTGGTGGTTGTAGATGGTGAGGGTGGGAGTGTGAGTATGGGGTGAGCCTCCATGTGGGGTTGTGTGTTTTCACTGGGGTGTGAGCTGGTGGTGGGTTTTTGTTGGTGGTTCTGTGGGAACACGGTGTGGGATGGTTCGCGTGCCTGTTGTGTCAAAGAAGAAGAAGAAATATTTTGCTCCATTGTAGTCCCGGCAGGTCTGAGAAGTGCTAAGCTTGGTTTATGCTTGATGCATTCACTTTCCACTTGGTGATGCGGCTCGCAGATGGAATGCGCTTCACAACTCGCAGCGTTTATGGTTCATGCGGCTTGTCTCTGCGGTGAGCCAATATTCTCCCAAACTGAAGGGGGCAGCATGGAGCTCTACAGCATGCATCCAACACTACACCATAGTAGAAGTAGAAATTACTGTTGTTTACAGCATGGCATTCCAGCATTTTTAACAGCGTCCTCGTCTTTTCCGACAGTGCGAGCTATTTCTCTCCAATAATTATTAACAACATGTTGATCACGGTGATCTTTGACAGCTGAATCATACAAATGTCTTTACGAACCTCTGCCATACTAGTTCTTGCTGGTCCGCCATGTTTTTCCACGTCCGAACGTCCGCGTGGTTAGAAATTTTCCTATGTGCGCATTGCGGACAAAAATGGATGGAAGGATTTTTACATGTTTATAGTACTTATAGAGGCAGTAGAGACTCACACAGCAGCACAAAAGGATGCAAAAGGTGAGTTTAGCATAATAACTTCCCTTTAGTTAAATAGCTTTTGTTTCCTGTTTCCAATACTTTGACAATTTCATCATTTGGACCTGTGGCTTGTTTGTGTTTGTTGTTTCTGCAGGTTTAGAGGAGCTGGAATTGATAAACAACCCTGGTTCTTATTCTTGTGCTTTGGGTTTTGATCAGTATGGGTCGTGTTCTGATCTGGTCTTGTTCCATTTGAAGGTGTATTTTTATTAGAAATAGACTAAACCTGTCGGGGTTTTACCTGTGAGAGAGACGTGGTATCTACAGACATGGTTTCTGTCAGTTTTTTGGTTCTGGATTTCGGTGGCAGTGCAGGAACAGAGTCCCTCTGATGCTGCTGGATCCTTGGATTCCCACCAGGACTAGTCTGGTCCTCTTTCTTCTGGTCCCACATGGTCCTCAGAGCCTGAACGCTGACCCCAGAGTTCTTCTTGACATTCACCACATCGTACAGGTCACCGGTGTCCTCCTGAAAACAGACACCCAGTATAAAAAGGTTCTGCTTTGGTGGTCTGGAATCAACAAAAACCAGATCACAGAAGGTTTCCAAAGGGGGGTAAACCAGAACTTGAAGCAAATATCTGACTTGTAGGAGTTAAACTTTTCTCTGTTATTTAAAAAATGCTGCATCCTGGGATTGAGCGAGTCACATTCTGCCTCGTCTTTGAAAAAAAAATAAAAAATACACTTTGAGAACCTGGAGTTCTTCCAGGATCAAATCAGTTGTGAGACTCACCTGGCTGCAGGTGGAGGTTAGGACCTCTCCAAAGGGCTGGATGGGACAGAACCGGTAGTGATTGATCAGCTCGCTCAGGCTGTTGAACAGCTGACTGTCTCCAGTAATAGCAAACTGTCCCTCGCGGTTTTGGGAAATGACAAAGTGGCGACATCTGTCTTCACCTCTGGGGGGGAGGGGGGTAGATTAGTCATACGGGGGTGAGAAGAGCATTCAGTTTGAAGGACTTGTTTTGTCTCACCTGTAGGACAGGATGTAGCCGATGGTTTTATCACTGAGGCGGATGAGAAAACAGCCCAGAGCTTTATCTCTCAGGAGATCTTCTGCATCCCTGCAGTAAAGTTGGATGGAAGCTTTTAGACAAATCTGCAGGCAAATTAGGTCTAAAAATGTTAGTGCGGTCAGAACGGAAGCTCGGATGGTGCGGCTCGTTGGTTTCAATGGATCAGAGCTTCAGTCCGACCCAGAAACCGAGATGTTCTCCTCCTGAACTCATGCAATCGCAGATGAACTACGAGCAGCATCCTTCTGGTCCTGGACCTGAAAACTACGGGTGGATGCTTCAGTCAGAGGTTGGCTGATCATGTGGGATTTATCCCATCTGGTTTCAAACACTCGTTCACTTTTCAATGTTTGGTCTTCCTATTTTTACCCCAAATAAAGAAAAATATAAAGAAAAGCATTTTTAAATATTCTTGTTCTTGTTGTTGAAGTTAAAGGGTCAAAAGAGGTCAAATGATCACCAAGACCAAAGGACAGCATGTCCACAGAAGCCCGGCTGTCTGGCAGAGAGTTGGATCGAGTTTTGAGATGGTCGGGTCCAACAAAGTCTCATGAACTGGACACAAATCTTAAACAACAACCCAAAAAGGTCATCTGAAAGTCATAGGTCAGAGAAGTGGCAATGAAAGCAAGAGTATCATCTCAGATTGTGCAGGGCTCAGGTAGCAGCTTAAAGGTCAAAGGCCATGGCAGGACAACAGCAGCTCAGTTGGTTATAAACTTTGAGATTTCTGGAAGATCGGGGTGGAGGTGTTTACCCATAATGCACTGCAGTACAATCAGCTGATCTAAGCTGTCTGCACGGTGGTGATGGACTGATGGTTTGGGCTGGTTCTTGCTCGACAGAACTTGCTGAGTCCATCGGGAACTCCTCTAGATGAAGGTTCTAGAGTCTGATGTGAGAATTATCCTGGCACTCGCTGAGTACAGACGCTTCTCTTTTTACTCCCTTATCTTTTTTTCCCAAGGCTCTTTGTCCTGTCTGCCCACAGAGCGCTTCTCTGCATTTCTTCTGAAAAACTCTATTTTTAACTATGGATTTGAGGAATTGGTCATTCAACGCCATTGATAAGATTTTTTCAACAATGAGAACGGAGCAGGGGGCTCCCACTTGCCCGAAGTGGACACACCTGGCGGGGTATATGCTGGATTACTGGAGGGAGTGGAAGATCGTATGCCTCTCCCAGCTGTCCATTGAGGACGTCGAAGACGTGTGGATATTTGGCCTGATGATCACTGGATTTCTCCTGATTGGAGTGGGAGGATATCTGGTTTACTGGAAATTTGGGAAGACGGGAGCGATTGAAGGGCGGCCCGCACCCAAGGAAAGCACCATCCGTGTGGAGACCTCACAGACTGGGACGTTACTCGAGGTGAATCGTAAGCTGGACAATGTTCTAGCTGCGATACCGGTATTAGTGCGCAAAAGGGATGTCATCTCGGAGAGGGTCACCAGATGGTATGGACAAGTTTTAAAAAACTAGATTGGCTTCACTGAAGGACTGGAATGATCAGTAAAGACTGAAGGCAGAGAGGAAAATTATCTCAGCCTGACCCAAACAAAGTCTTGTTATCCGAATCTGACGCCAGAGCAGCCTCGAGATGCTAACAACAAACCCCCACGAAGGAATGCAGACAGATGATGTGAACCCCCACCCCACCCCCACCCCCACCCCCGCCTTCAGATTGGTGGACTTCAGCCTGGTGAGGTCATCAACCTGCAGGAGTCAATGTGCTCTGCGCTCCTCCCGAGAACTCCCTCCCACCTGTGGCTACAGTGGCTGAGCACCATACATGGCTGCTCTCGCTGGGGAAACAGGATCCCAGCCCACCCCTTGCCATCCTATCGGAGTATCTATGTTGTGTTGTCTGAAGTCTGTTGCTTATCTGTCTGAGGTGTTTTTTTTTTTTTTTTTTGCAGAGCAAAGCTGGTGGGAGAGTAGTTATGAAGTGCCTTTTTTCCCCTCCTCCAATTCCTCATGTTACCCTCTTATCTCTATTAAGGTAGCGCGACTCAGGGTTGTGAATGACCAGTCACCAATTCTTGTCATGTGTCTTGCCCATGAATGTCTGATCTCTGAATTGTGTGTACTGAAACTCTAATTTCCCTCTGGGATTAATAAAGTATCTTTGAATTGAATTGAATTGAAACTAACTGAGATGCACTGGTGCTTCAGAAGAAGAGTGGACCAGAACCACGAGACACTTTTGAGGTCCTACAGAAGACTAATGGAGGTTCTGGTCGTGTGGGCTAGGTTTTTGATAAAAAAAAATCTGTGATGCAAGTTGTTGTTTTTGTAAATTCATTTTAAACGAGTCAAAATCCTGAGGATCATAATGTACAGATTTAAAATAAGCTCTGCAACTTTTAGTTTGAGCAGGATAACTAGTCTGGGTGATCACTTTCATAAATGATGTTACAAAAAATCAGCCTTGAGCTTCTGAAACTGGTAAAAACACAGAAACGATTACAAACCTGCATCAGCAGACAAAAGTATTATTAAACCCCGAGCCCAACCTCTCAGGGTGAAAACCTATTGGTCTGTTCATCTGAGATGGTTTAAACTGAAAACTGACAAATACATCAAAAACAGATGTTCCTTTCTAACGTTCTAGAGAACAAACAATCCTCTGGATGGAATACTGACTGCCTGCAGAATTAAATTCATCCACTGATCATATTTTAGAAAGTCCTCAGAAGCCACTGTCCTGCATGTTGTAAATGTTTCACCGCTTAAATCCTCCTGCTAATCAGCCATCAATATAAATCAGGAATGGGGTTCTCCCTGCTGTTCCAGTAGACCCACAGCTTGATGCCCTTACTTTCTTCCAGCCAGGCCTTGGAACCAGTCGGGGAAGTTTCCGTTCTTCAGGATGAGCGGTGCCTGGGTCTCAGAAAACCACCTCACCACCAGCTCCTTCACACCTCCTGCTCCCTTCTCCATCTGCAGGTCACCAGCGGACTTCATGGCCATCCTGCCTGTCTGCAGAGCCGTGGGAACAGAGCTGCAGCAGCATGCACAGGTGGCTGACTGTCCAGAGGAAGAAGAGGAGCTCATTTGACTGTTGCAAATGGGCGTTGCTCTGGAGTGAATGATGGCATTGTTTCAGTTCATCCAGCAACTTCCAGCTCTCATCACTCATCACCAGTTTCATTTTAATATCTCTGTTCCTCATCCCTTCCCATTTTAACTTTACTACTGGGCTATCATGAGACCTTTGGTATCACAGTTCTCTAATTTTAAAGTTGCTGATTTATTGAGGAAATGCAAATACATATATATTATACATATATATATACATATATATATATATATATATATATGTGTGTGTGTATATATATATATCATGGAGGGGGCCATCATTTGCACACTACTAATTACTTAAACATTCTCCCTCTCCTGATAACTGTCACACCCTGTCCTGTCTCCCCATTTGGTTCAGCCTATGTCTCTGTTGATTGCTCCCACCTGCCTCTCGTTTCCCAATCACCCAAGCTCCCAGTCCTCCTGTATTTAAACCCCTCCAGTTCTGTGTCTCTTGTTGCCTCATCGTTTCCATGTCCTGTGTCCTGTGATCATTAAAAACCTTTTAAATTTTCCAGTTTGTCTGCCTTCCTGATCCCTCCCCAGCGTTTGGATCCTCACCTCCGCTCCACTCACCAGCGCGTTGTGACAGAATGAGGCAACCCAGTAAAGGATCCAGTGGGGAGGTTCTCCCTTGGGAGTGCTTGCCCCAGTTTTTAGCTACGGACCACTGGCCGGCTCCTCTTCCTCCGGCATCGCCTCGCCGCGGACGCCGCCGCCGAGCCCGGGCTTCAGCGATCCTCTCCACCCTCTCGGAGCCGGAAGGAGAGTTGGACGGGGAGGCGCAGACGGACCGCTCCTGCTATGTGGGCACCAGACTGGCTATGTGCTCCCCCGGAGTTGGCCCACGGCGTTTGGAAGGATGCCGGGCTCCACCGTCACCCCTTGTCCCCGGACGGAGCCGCGAGCTTGCAGCTGCCCCGGCTCGGTGCACCGGCTTGGACCCGCCTCCAGTTGGATCAGCTGTCCCGTCTCCGGTCCAATCAGCGCCTCCGTCATCTGCACGCGGAGGAACCACGCCTACAGCCCAGCTGACAGAGCTCGCCGGTCTCCGGGCGGAGCTTGGCCGGATCCATCAGCTCGTCAGCCTCCGGGAGTTCCAGCTGGACACACTGTCCTCCAGGGGAGGGTTTCTGTCCAGCCAGCGGCCCCGCCTCCGGTCCAGTCGGCAGCTCTCTCGTCTCCAGGCCAAAGGACCGAGCTCGCAGTCCATCCAACAGAGCTCGCCGGTCACCGAGCTGAGCTGGACCGACTCCGTCAGATCCTCAGTCTCCAGGAGTTCCAGTTGGACAATCTATCCTCCCTGCTTTTCCAGTTACCTGCTCCACCAGGTCCCGCGCCACCAGTCCAGTCAGCGCCAGTTCCAGCGGTGGTCCCGGAGGTCGCGCCGCATCCAGTCCAACCTGTCCAAGCGGTCCTGTCTGCAGCAACTCCTCCTCCACTCCAGAAGCCGGCGGCCCAGAAGCCAGCGGTCCAGGAGCTGATGGACCAGTAGTCGATGGAAGTCGACGCCCCTGGGCCAGAAGTTGACGTCGACGCCCCCAGGCCAGAAGTCGACGCCCCCACTCCAGTCCAGAGGTCGATGCTCTCTCCAGTCCAGAGGTCGACGCTCTTTCCAGTCCAGAGGTCGACGCTCTTTCCAGTCCAGAGGTCGACGCTCTCTCCAGTCCAGAGGTCGACGCTCTCTCCAGTCCAGAGGTCGACGCTCTCTCCAGTCCAGAGGTCGACGCTCTCTCCAGTCCAGAGGTCGACGCTCTCTCCAGTCCAGAGGTCGACGCTCTCTCCAGTCCAGAGGTCGACGCTCTTTCGTGTCCAGAGGTCGACGCTCTTTCGTGTCCAGAGGTCGACGCTCTTTCGTGTCCAGAGATCGACGCTCTTTCGTGTCCAGAGATCGACGCTCTTTCGTGTCCAGAGGTCGACGCTCTTTCGTGTCCAGAGGTCGACGCTCTTTCGTGTCCAGAGGTCGACGTCCCCTCTAGTCCGACATCTCCACCATTTCCAGTCCCATGGTCGATGCCGTCTCCAGTTCCAGCGGTGGTCCCGGAGGTCGCACCGTGTCCAGTTCCAGCGGTGGTCCCGGAGGTCGCACCGTGTCCAGTTCCCGCGGTGGTCCCGGAGGTCGCACCGTGTCCAGTTCCCGCGGTGGTCCCGGAGGTCGCACCGTGTCCAGTTCCCGCGGTGGTCCCGGAGGTCGCACCGTGTCCAGTTCCAGCGGTGGTCCCGGAGGTAGCTCCGTGTCCAGTTCCAGCGGTGGTCCCGGAGGTCGCTCCGTGTCCAGTTTCAGCGGTGGTTCCGGAGGTTGCTCTGTGTCCAGTTCCAATTCCAGCGGTGGTTCCGGAGGTCGCACCGTGTCCAGTTCCAATTCCAGCGGTGGTTCCGGAGGTCGCACCGTGTCCAGTTCCAATTCCAGCGGTGGTTCCAGAGGTCGCACCGTATCCGGTCCAGCCCTTCCACAAGGCTCCAGTCCAGCCCTTCCACAAGGCTCCAGTCCAGCCCGTCCAAGAGGCTTTGTCTCCGGTCCAGCCCGTCCAAGAGGCTTTGTCCCCGGTCCAGCCTGTCCAGAGACTTTGTCCCCTGTCCAAGAGGCTTTGTCCCCAGTCCAGCCTGTCCAAGAGACTTTATCCCCTGTCCAAGAGACTTTGTCCCCGGTCCAGCCTACAGAGACAATGCCCATAGATCCATCCAAAGGGTCCACGTCTCCAGTCCAAGAAGATGATGTCTTCCCCTCCTCAAGAGTTCCAGTCTCAAGAGTCTCCTTCCTCTCGGGAGTCTCGTCCTCTCAAGAGTCTTGGCCCCCGTCTACGTCCTCTCAAGAGTCTCCAGTGCCCCATGTGTTTCAGTCTCCTCTGTCCTATCCTCGCCTCCTCCTCTGCCGCAGATGCAGGCCCCCCAAGAGCCCATCGTCACCTCCTCCTCTGCCACAGACGCAGGCCCCCAAGAGCCCATCGCCGCCTCCTCTGCCACAGACGCAGGCCCCCAAGAGCCCGTCGTCGCCGCCTCCTCTGCCCTAGACGCAGGCCCCGGGACCCTGCTGGTCCCTGCCTCCTCTCCATCGGCCCCTCGGTCCCTCTTGGCCCTCCCTCTGGGTCCCCCTCCTCCCTCCCTGCTCTGTGTTCCTGTGGGCGTCTGGAAGCCGCCCTTTTGGGGGGGGGGGGGGGGGGGGGGGTACTGTCACACCCTGTCCTGTCTCCCCATTTGGTTCAGCCTATGTCTCTGTTGATTGCTCCCACCTGCCTCTCGTTTCCCAATCACCCAAGCTCCCAGCCCTCCTGTATTTAAACCCCTCCAGTTCTGTGTCTCTTGTTGCCTCATTGTTTCCATGTCCTGTGTCCTGTGATCATTAAAAACCTTTTAAGTTTTCCAGTTTGTCTGCCTGCCTGATCCCTCCCCAGCGTTTGGATCCTCACCTCCGCTCCACTCACCAGCGCGTTGTGACAATAACGGCATTTTACTTTCTTTGACATTGAATGTACTACTACTAGTTTACCCGTTTAATTATAGATTCACTAGGATAAATACAATAAAGTTTATCTCTCACTAAATAGAGTATTTACTAAGAAATCACATTGCAACTATAGAAACACTACTTGGTATATATGGTGTGTGTGTGTGTGTGTGTGGGGGGGGGGGGGTGTTGGTGTATGCGTGTGTCTGCTCTGTCTTCTCTATCCCCAGTGAGTTGTGGCGGATGGCTGCTTATTGAAGTAAAATACATTTTTGATGATGATCAATAAGATGTGATGATTCCATAGAAATATGAAATATCAATCTGATTGATCTTTGAATGTTTAATCAGAAGATTCTAGGGTTCTTTGCTTCTGTAGTAACCATAAACAAACTTCGTATTAATTCAGACAGAGTCAAGTATATAGTTTATAAAATGAATTAAATTCTTTTTCCTAAACTAGTAATTTATACATGACAAGATATGAATAAGGAGATGTGGTTTGGTGGATGTGAGGTGTTGTGATGGAAGCTCAATGTTGTAGCAACCATTATGGGATTAGATTTGTGCCAATAAGATCAAGGAAAAACACATTGGAGATCAAACAAATTTTAAGACATTGAGAGAAAAAACATTCGTTTCAAAAGAAAAACTTACTATCTGAATCAGATTCTTAAAATGATCAAGATAAACACTTTGACGGTCAAACAAAAATTAAGAAATTGATAGAACAAAAATATTGACTAAAGGAAAAAACATGTTTCGACTAAAGGAAATAACATGTTTCAAAAGTAAAACTTGATATCTGAATCAACTTCCAGAAAATCTATCTATCTAGAAAATTCCAAGATGGCGGCACCCTGTGAGAGTAATGCTTTTCTGTCTCCTTTCTGTCTCTTCAAGGGGAACTTTTTTTTCTCACAAAGGAGTTAGGAAACAAAATTAAACAATACAACACTGAAAGAGAAAAGATGCCACCCAAGAGAGTATTGCAGACGGAATACGATATGGGGGACATCCGTAAGTCAATAAACAGCATGTCTGAGGAGCTGGCTAAGGTAATGCAACAGCTTCTTAAGCTCACAGAACTTTTTGAGGAAGTAAAGCTTTTTATGTGTGATCTGACAATTGATCAGCCATTGCTTAAAAATTAAATACAGCTTAGCCGGTTAATTGCTGTGATCCTAAAACATGTAAACGGCAGCACACAGAAACACGAGGCAACGTTTTACGTGATGTTTACTTGTTGCTATGAGTAATAAGACGGAAAAAGCCATGCCAAAATAAGTTTAGGAAGCCCACTAAGAATCGACGTTCAGTGACTCCAGTGGTGGTGGCACAGAGAAGTTGGATTGGATTGCTGATTGGCTGCACCTGGCGGTAAGGCGTTTCCTGTTTTCAGTGTTGCACTACGTGTAGCTGTTTGGTGTTTGGGGCTCGCTAAAGCTGATTTAATTTCTCTGTACTAGGATATCTCTGAGTTATTGTAGCACAAAAGCACGCTAAAACACACATTTTCTGTTGTTCCACCTAGCTTTTAGGGAACCATTTGAGTTTGCACGCAGTTTATTTGGTGTTGAACAGTTTGCTCGTCCAGTTAGCTTAGCCTCAGCACGGCTATGGCTACTTCTGTCTCTGCTTCTCCATCTCCTATCTCTTGCTCTCTGTGTCAGATGTTTAGTTACTCCTCTGCCTCCTTTAGTGATAATGGTACGTGTAATAAATGTAGCATTTTTGTAG